CAAAAGGATGCAAAGTAGCTAAGACATTAATTCACAACAGTATCTCAATTACATCTTCAAGTGAGAAAGAATAATTTTCTAAAAATATCACACTGGACAATAAAAATTCCTAGCGACAAATTTTGTTTTTGTCTCACGAAAAGGACAGAAGACGGCAAAAGATAGGCGAAGACAGCAGAAGAAACAGAAGACGAACGTACTCTGTCAGTTTCTTTATTACTCGTATCATGTTATACGTTAGGGTGACCAGGACCTGCGGTGAACATTTAGTTATCATTTTCACTGCCCAAAATATTTGCGGCATTGACAAGTATTGTCGATTCGCACTTTCTTTAAGAAAATTCCCTTGACTCGTCAGGAGAAGGAATCTTGAAAACCCGTTTTTCCAATACATATAATATTGTTTGAAGGCAAACAGACAGTTTTCAACTTCTCAAGAATGTTGGTTGTCATAACGTAAACGTACCCTTCTTCTGCAATTATAGATTTTCATATTACGGAAATGCAAATAACAATAGTTTTGATATTATTGCAAGGCTATCTGTAGTTAGTATCCTCACAACGAACATGTTTCGCGGATTCCTCTGTTTACCCAACAGTATATCTGAGAAAGAAGGCTGCTCTGTTTTGGGGCAGACCTTAACAGTGTCAGTTGTTTATAAATAAACTTAATAGTCGCATTTCGTCAGAAGACTTTTATTTGAGACCGTATGTGTATTTTTGCGATAGATAACATGACTTGAGTTTCACGATTGTTTTATCTTTGAACGTCACGAAGCGTCATGTCATTAATGCCCCGTAGTTCGAAAAGCGAGTCCGCTGAGCAGCGGGCGGTCTATGTGCCCTGGTGAACAAACTATTTAAAAAAAGTTATTTATTTGTGCTCCACTTTGAATTTTGACTGATATATACAACATTACTGTAAAAATACATGAGTATATTTGACAATTATTTTAAATGTCGATCTAATGTCAAAATTTGTGTTTTAAAAAATTAAATATTTAAATAATATGTTTACAAAAATTATATTAACATCATATCAAAGTACATCTTTTTAACTTAAATTTAACTGTAATTTTATTTTTCTGAAGGAAAGGGTATTTATGCAAAAAATTTTAAACATTAGTGCGCGCATAATTCTTCAAAAAAATTGATAATATTTCTGAAAGGGGTGGGATTAAAAAAAGAAAACAATACGTGTCACCTCTTTTCAACCTAGACCTCATAAAAATGTTCAAAGTTGATAAAAAGTTGTGATGTTTTGTGCGCGTGCGATTTGATGTGCAGTGAGTCATATATGATATGAACGGAAGTAATGCGTTGACACATTCATAATTAAAAGTGGACGCAAAAGTCATTATGAAATATTGACAAAGAAAATTAAACATATGCACAAACAAAAACAAATTAAAAGTTTTATACTAAATAGACATCACGACTGATAATTCTGAAATAAGCAAGTAAGCTTTTAATCAAATGACTTCTTTACGTCTTCCTTTTTTTCTTTGAGTGTCGTGCCATTGTGTTTAATTTTTCCAGGAATGTCATCAAGATGAACATGATGCCGTCGAATATGCAAGCTTTCGTGTTTGCATCAGTCGATAGTGTAGATGTTAATGTCAATGAAAATCATTGTTAATCTTAAAATTAAATAACATGGTCACAAACATTTCACGTTTTGTACGGGTAATGAGCCTAGGTCAATGAGACTGTCGAGCAACTCTTCTTGCCATGTGCACAACAACAGACCGCACCACAATAGCCCGCGAACGGGGACGGCAATGTGAAGGCGAGGACGGGAAAGGGAACGCGAAATACGTGGGCTTCACAATAAACGCCAACAGGAAGAAGAATAGCGCTGTGAACCAATACGCAGAAAAGAGAAATTCTAGAAAGTGCCCGAAACTAATGCACCTCTATACAGCTACGCTGCTTCGTTCACTTTTTGATTTGCGATTTAAAAGAGAAGAAAAGCGCAAAAACTACTATGAAATTAAGGAAAATACAATTCACTAAATTGTTATCAAGAAAAGAACTTACATGTACTTTAACAAAATATATAAAACTAATTATTTTGGGAATATTAATTCTAAGTATTAAAAAGAATAGGACCTTAAATAAACTCAACAGTGAGAACACAAGTCCCTAGAACATTTACAAAATGTTCACCAAAATGCCACGATTTTCAAAATATTTGGTCTAAAAGAAAAAAGTACGATTATAAGAATGGCGCAAATCCTTTTTTAGAAAAACCTCTGAATGTTCGAAAATTGCAAAAGTTGAAACTTTTTCGAGGCCCCCACAACTAAATTACTGTACATAACGATTTTTCATAATGAAATATGTTCTTTAAAATTATATCTTTAAATAATGTCATCTAAAATTTTTGGAAAATATTAGTAATTTTCCCGAAATGTTGATTAAAATCATGACAATTAAAAATACAAAAAACAAGAAATTTTCCAAAAATACAATACAATTTTTCTAGAAATATTTTTCTCGAATTCAACAAAATCCGCTTAATAATATAGAATAGACCCACTTTTTATTCAGGTGTCTGAAATTCTAAAAATGTCAAATGTTTCATATTTATCAAATCTGTTCTAACTTTCAATATTGAAGATAGAGATTGTTTCTTAATGCAATTAATATTAATACCATAATATTATTATCATAATATATCATAATATATTATTATCATAATATATTAGTGTCATATTATTATTATTATTATTATTATTATTATTATCTTTATTCACAGCTTTCTGGAATTACAGTAATCACACAGATACATATCAAAGCATGATCACTTATTACTTACAAGTTACTAAATAGCGCTTACAGTTTTCACACAGCACTTACACAACACAGTACATAGCACACAATATTTACACAACATTTATAAAATTTAAACCTTTGAATTGTATATAAAAATTTTCAGCAAATGTTTTATAAATCTGAACCCATAATTCTTCTAACCAAAGAACATGTATTATTACCGCTTTCTGCATGTTTATCAAAATATTTTTGTTTATATCTAGTTTTTCCACTGACTTTACAGTGACCTTTGGTACAATACCAGTTGCTGAGATTACAATAGGGATTGTCTTCGCATTTTCCAAGGACCATTCCTCCTTCACGACTTGGACCAATTCTCTGTATTTTCCCAGCTTCGTCTGGTAGGTGGTTATCATGTTATCATGTATCGCCATTTATCATGTTATAATGTATTGGAAGCACAGTTACTTTAATAATTAATTTTAGCTTTTCAAACAGACTGCTTTTAACACATCATTCGATAGTGTCGGCGAACGCCTCTTATCTTGTGATTATTTGCGCTCAAGTTCAAATCGAGATTTTTGAAAACAAAGAGAGTTACCGGAAAATGGGACCTGTGCCATATTTACAAGCGAAATTTTTCCTATTTGACCAAAATATGTATAAAAAATTTGTAGCCTTTTTGAGAAGAAGCTTGTTTTTAAAATTGCCTACATTTCAAGGAAAATTACGCGAAAAATATTTCTATTTTTGAAAAATCGTACATGCCATTATTTTAAGATGTCTCTGAGGAACAGATTTTGTTACAGAAAATATCTCCACCTTCAATATTGCAGATGTAGACAGACGCCGAAAAACTTTTTAATTTTCAAAAACCCAGAATTCAACTCAAATGAGACCCCGCAATGTTTAGTTCTTTGCTATATCCCCAAAAAAACTAAGTAAAACATCTGGAGCCATTTTCGATTAAAAATATTGAAAAGGTTAAGGCTTTATATAAAGTACCCCCAAATGTAAACGTATTCGAGCTAGGTTAGATCAATCGAGGAGTATCAATGCGAAGAAAATCTTCTGATAGGTTTAGGCGCAATTGTAGGTAATGGACGAACGGACAGACAGAAAGATGAGCAGATGGACCCGTTTTGCTGTAAATCAAATTGTCTGTATCGAGGACTTACAAAACGTTGTTTCTGACTGTACGTGTTGGGTGAAGTAATTTACTACATAAAGAAACAAGATGTATCCACTTTTTCGAAATATCGGCCTCACAATATGAGTTTTTCTGACAAAACAAATCGTCACGTACCGCTGCAGCATAGCAATAATTTCTCTTCACTACGTAGGCATATAGTAGACAAGAAAGTAAAGAATTAGAAAGCAAACCACTGGCCTAGTTAACCTAACTGTACACAAGATTTCACCAAAATTGCTATTTACCAATCGACATGACTGATTTCGTGGTCCCTTGACTTCGAAATGGTTCTTCTTATTATGGGGTATTTTACATGAAGCTCTTAGAACATTTTCAAAGTTTTTTTTAAGTGTCCCTAAATCACCTTCCCAGATCGAGAAGGTTTGCGGCTAAAGCTGCCGTTGAAGATAACGTGTTAACACGTGAAATAAATTTGTTTAAAAATGATAAATGGTTCGAATTGTTTTAAAATTCTGGTCGATGAACAGAAGGAACTCTACTGACCAAATCCCCTGCGCAAGAGAAAGATTCGTAATTGCAAAAATGTATTGCGCAATTGAAGAGGACAATTACTTCATGCGGTTTTGTACTGAAATCAAATGCTTGACCGCACTTCAGCCTTATAAAGCACACAATTCTTCAATCGGTTAAAAAGGACATTTTACTCAATACATATAGTAACGAATCCGTTGGTGAAATTGTTACGGACTTAAAGGCCACGAGCAGGAAAAGAAAACGATAACTTTTGCAAATAAACACGTGATGGGATATTTCGTAAACGAAGTTTCATAAGTGACATTTTCCCCTGATCAATAGGCAATTCTCAATGGACTAATGTTCTTCTGGTCACGTTATGATTTAATCAAAGTGAGTTCCTGTACCTGCGTGCGTGCATCAATGTGTATACGTCAATGTGTGAAAGTTAATGTGGACATAGGTATTTTAATTTGTCTACAGAGATATGAATACATGTATGCTGCTTCTAATTGAAGGTGTGCAATATAAACTACTAATGTAGTTGTGAACTTACCATCGATATGTCTTTAAAAATTGTAGCAATAGAAATACTACTATTGCTTTCTGATAATGTTTTAATTGTAGATATTAGTTCAGAAAGAATTCCTCCAATTTTGTTAATTATTGTTCCTAACATCTCAATTAACTGAAAAGATAAATTAAATTGCCATTCTTAGGAAAGTCATATTGATTCAATTAATTCATGAAATAATCACGAGAAAGAATGAATCAGTTTTGAAACTTACAACACCTTCAGGTAAATTCTTCCAGGCATATGTTGAAAACTCATTGAAATCTTCAAGCATTCTACTACATGTATTGTAAAATTTAGACGGAATACATGGTGAAGTGACAAGAATTGATAAAAGTTGTTTTATTAATGTACCATTGCGAAAATGCAGCATCTAAAATCACACAACAAAATTGAAATATGAAACATTCCAAAAAATTAATTTATTTCACTTAAGTATGATTTTCAGCCATCAAAAAAAGTACATTTGAATCTCCCGCGTTTCTTTTGCGACTGCTGGCAAAAGAACCCACTACTGTAAGTAGTTTTTAACTTTATTTTTAAAAAAATCGTTTCAAATTCGTCTGAAATTAAAATTGAATTGAAGTCTGAAATTGATCTAAATCGATCATAGAATACTAATTTTTGATAATTCTCAGTGTATAGTTTAGGGCTTTAGGCACTAGTGTTGTTGATGTGTGAGTGAACTTAATTATTTATTACGATATATTTTGATCCCATACATAAGATATATATATATA